GCCACAACTGAATTACCTTGTACCCGAAGTTTGAATTTCGAAGCTCGCCACTGTGCTCTATTTAAGAGTGAAATGTTGTGCGTGGCAAAAAGTCCATCAATACTTGGTTAAAAAAGTTGTGACAGAAGTAATAAATTTAGAGAGGAATCCACTTTTGCTAGATCGATATTCGTCCTAGATCCTTCAAACTTCTATTTTGGAAGAACATTCATTCGAATTTATTGTTTCATAAGAAATTCGATGAAGTTGATATGAAATTCGATAAATTTTAACAGTACTGTGATATCAATTTCTTAGTTTCGCATTAACGAAATGCAAGCTTTACGTTTCATACTTTTGTTATACCTTCTTAACGTGATATTTGTAGATTTCTCGCTACGTGGCATTTTTTAGTTTCATTTTTACCCGTAGAACACATTAACGAGGTATAAATACTAAACTTTAACACGTTGTATAAAAATGCGCAATTGTAATTGTGAATTTTGAATGAGTCGTGAAACAACTGAGGCTGCGGTTACGATACAAATATGTCCAAACTGTTTATCGGACAAACATGACAAGTGATGGTTACAGCTGCGAAAGTCTAAAAAAACATTATTCTGTCATAACATATTCAGCATCACTGTTTACAAAGTCCGTATCTGAAATTTTTACTCTCAAATGAAATGAGACACTGAAACATGTTTGCTCTAAGAACAAGATTCGGGGTGAATTTCACTTTCAGTATTGTTCGAAAAGCTAAGGAATTAAAGTAATAAATTCTAAGATGTTAATTGTAAATATTAACACCTGGAGGCAGGCGTATCTAGTTAGTCATAGCAACTTAGTCTTACCTCTTTTCCCTTAATCCTAACTTCGTTTAAGAGTTTAAATTTCCTCTATCAAATTCGTTTGTCACTTGCTCAATACATTCTCATCACTTAGGTGCTCACTCGCTTGTTTTTATAATTGTATAAATATAATTTATAAAAACAGACAATGTCGAAGTATAGTATTGGAATGAACTAACTGAAACTACAAAATTAGCCTAACCTAAACTGAATTAAATGTGTTTACGAACTATCGCTTTCAGCTAAAGAAATTATCGACCGGCGCTTATACATCTAAGGATTTTATTTGCCCATTTGGAGAACACACTATTCATTGTTTATGCCTCATTGTAAATATACAAGTGACATCATTGTAAAATATACAAGCCTATGAGTATGTCAAGAGTGTGTAATGACAGTTGTGAAAACGGAGACGTGCGAGTGATAATACAGTAATAAGCTTGAGCCGGCAGATACCGGAAAGGGCTGAAGAATCCATCTGTTTCTGAATAGAGAAGACTCGTTGTTGGATCGACTTTGACGAAGCTCGTGCGAATTTCGAAGAGGGGAACACACGATCCAATGAGAATTGATCGACTCGGTTTGTCAGAAGACTATAACTGCTATGACCGTGGCCTAAAATATCACGCGCAAGTTTCGCGAAAGAACGGCGTTGAATGGCTGCAGAAGTGGAAGAGTCGAGGAAAGTGGACATTAGCGAGAGAGATACCTCATCATCCTCGATTGCGCGCAACCTGCGCGTGCAATTTGCCTTCGTTCGTTCGGTTACGAAGGAGAGTGGCCACGCTCTCATACACACGCAGGGCTCGATCATAAAGAGCGACGATAACTAAAGGCCGGCCACGGCGACGGCTCGAACACGACAGAGTTCCACTGTTACGGCAGGACGGATTCATAAATTTACGCTTCGCGGTTATTTTCCCCGTGTGTGTGCTTTGTGTGTGGTCCGATAACCCCCGCCTCCCTTCTCTCTCTCTCTCTCTCTCTCTCTTCGGGTCGGACAGACGAATACACGCGATTGCCGATCCAAAGCGGCTGTGGTGTGCGCATCTCCTCCCCTTTGCCCTCGTCCTCGTCTATATTAACATCGCACTGTCCAGGATCTCTCGACGCGATAACATCTCGATTATCGTAGAACGCTTTGCCAGGCCGTGCATGCAAAATCAAAGGTCTTTCCTTCTTTCTCTCTTTCTCTCTCTTTTATCATCGGCGAAGGAAACTTTCCGCGTACGTTCGCGCAAGGGAACGCGAGAGTACATTGTCACGAGTTGGGCAATCGACGAGTACGTTATCTCACCGACGAAACTCGCCGCGATGTACGACAGATAAAGCCGTAGATTCGTACGAGCAATATTTTAAGCAAGGTTAGATGATATCGCAGAAATGTCCATGCTCCGACGGAGGGAAGAGAGAGAGAGAGAGAGAGAATGGAAGGAGCCTTGCATTTAGGTAAAAGTTCAGCGAGATCTCGAACAGTGGAAATTAATTACGGGAACGGGTAATAAAGCTGAGAGGATCGCTGGAGCGACGTAGTGTGGTGGATGCAATAAAATGAAACTTTTAAATTGGCGTGGAAGGGATGAAACGCCAACCGTACGAACATCGAGCGTTTGCCGCGCATTGCGTTGACGTTTATTAGGCGGGGGACAGTCGCGCGATAACATAATTAAACAACGCTGAGCTGAAATCGGGAAAACGCACCAGCGAGTACGCCATTAAGATCGAACGGACGAAGTTTAGGGGGATAATTTCAGCTGTCACGGCCGGTTTTGCACGGGTTAATTTCTTAAAATTATCATCTCGATTTTTAACGCATTGGCACGCGCGTGCCTCAGCCTTCGGAGGAGAATGTCAAAGAAACCAGTCTAATTTTACCAGTTTATTTCTTTGTTTTTAGTTCCTCGCTGCAAACCATTGTTTCCTCGATGATTTCTTAATATAAAAAAGAAGTACTATTTTATTCCGGTTAACAGAACAAAATACTAAGTAATTGACGAAATTGGTAAAACATTAACTTTAAGCAAAATGACATATCCATATCTTGCAAACACCTCTATTTTTTTTCTGATGGCACCACACGCTCTTATTTGATAACAGAATTTTCAACGCTATTATAACAGTTGTCCAAATGAAATACTATTTTATCCTGGTTAACAAAAAAATATTAAATACTAAATTATTGGCAACGTAAGACAAATTAATTTCAAGAAAAATGACAATCAACATCTAGCAAAGATTTGAGTAGTATCTTTTCCGATGGTATCACTCTTGTTTTATTTTGAAATAGAATTTCACAATTTTCAACGCTGTTATAATAACTGTCCATATAAAAATGATGCCAGGTGCGTCATATAAGGCACAATATTTTCTATCGTTTCGATCGAATTTTAACCCCCGAGCAGAATAAATCTGAAAATTACACGTGCATCCCGTGTACACTTTTTATACGACACTCGCAACAGAATTCAGTATTTTATAATTGCCGATGCAGATTCTGAAGAACGATCTTCCCCTTGAAGTCTGTCTGAAGTTATTTTCTGGGTTTGTAAAAATTTGTAAACTTTGACCGAAAGATGACTGTACTTTACACAGTCAGAGGAGGATCTCGTATCTCATAGTGGCGACAACAACAACCACAGGTGGGAGAAATGGCAGATAGATGTACTCACCGTAGGCGTGTAGAAGGGCGCCTGTTCGGCCCCGAGGCTAGGAAAATAGGCTGCCATGCCCTCGGAGGCGGCGGCGGCGGCAGCTGCCGCGTACGGCGCGCTGTACATGGAGAGGGCGGCCGTCGGTAGCGCACCGAGTCGCTGATAACCGCCGAGTAGCTCGTACTGGCAGGAGCAGACGGTCTGTCCGGTGAGCGGATCGGTGAAAATCGGTCTTCCAGTGTCGCAACACCGTCCAGTGGGCGCCGGGCCGCCGGTCGTCGGCGGCGGATGACCCTGCGACGGGCTGACCGACGTGGTTGGGCTGCCTGGCGGCCTAACCACCGCGCTGGTCACCGCCATCCTCGCGTTCGACAGACCGGCAGCTACGCCCAGGGGATGATTCGTGGTGGTGCCCGCTACGCTGACCAGCGACGAGCCGCCTGCGCTCAGGATCGTAGCGGAGACCGGCGAGGCCGAAGAGGACGTCAGCGACGAGCTCACTGTCACAGGACACTGCGCAGAACAACAGATACCATGATTGCGATCTCTTGATTAGATTACACTAGCAGATATTGATAGAACAGAAGTAGAGGTAATAATCGAGAAAGTGGTGCGATATTAATTAATTACTCGAGTTTTGGGAAACCCTGCCCTCTGCGTAGGTTT